ATCAATAGTAACTGCCCAAGTAAGCACCATAAGATTGTGTAGCATGTCATGTTTAATATGTGTTATGTATGCACCCATAACTAATAATCTAAAGCAGGGGGGGGGGGAATCTTATCCACAAAGGGCTGGTGTGTATGCAGGTTTTTGGGATAACCTTTAGGTCAGCTGTTCAAACCCAGGTGTGAGGACTCTTCAGCCAATCAGTCCTCTAATTAGTAACCTAATTAGGGAGTTGCAGGAAAAACCCGAATACACAGCGGCCCTTTCTGGATAAGATTGGCCACCCCTGTACTAATATACAATCTGCAATTACACAGTTTAGGGTTTGAGAAATGAGCTTAAAATGATTTGTTAAATTGCTGTTTTATTAGCAGAAAGCATGTGTGGAACAGGCCCCTCTACTGCAGGATCCTTCCCTCTCTGTCCTCCTCTCATCTGCTGATCTGACTCTTGCACCTGGGAAAACCCGAGGATTATTTGAGGACAAGTGGCTGTTTATTTATCTTACCTTGGCCAACAATGTTTCAGCCATGATGGTGGGGCTGAGAACACGAAGGCTGGGGGTGCTGGTGGGCATTCCACTGGGGGGGGGGGGGGAGATTTATTAACTGTGTCCTGGGTTGAAGTAACTCTCACTTCTTTGTTAATGTTATTGTTTAGCAGTAGCAGTGTCTCTGTGACGTAGATTTTGCCAGATGTAGACTTGTATGCGTCTTGGGAAGTGTTGGTTTCATACATATATTTTCCACACCCCATGTCCTACGTAGGGGGGGGGGGGGACTGGAGCCTATTGTGGGGTTCTGAAGCAAGGCAGGGGGTAACCCTTGATGGGGCGCCAACCCATCGCAGGGGACACACACCATATTCCTCTGTGGGCAATTCGGTACTCCAATTATCTTTAGCATGTTTTTAGATTGGGGGGGGGTAGGGTTTGTAGAACCTAGAGGATACTCCAGATGCCATGAGAAGAACACGCAAACTTTACATACGAAGAGCTGGGGCAAAGAATTTAATTCTGGGTTCCAGAAGTGTGATGCTACAGTGCTAACCACTGTGCCACAGTTCTGCCTCCACAGCTGTTTTCAGGGCGCCCCTTAGCGAATCTCTACGCTGTGTTGCTTAATGGGCACCTGGGCTCCACGCATGTTTTCATGTTCAGATAGAAGGCCGGTTAACAGCAGATGCCTGTCTGTTTGTAATGTCCCTCCCTGGATGCGAAGATGGAAAACCCTGGTCGAAGAACTTTCCAGATTTCACCCTCCATGACCATAATTTCCATGGGGTGTGATTACTTGGGCAGTAAAGGGGGGAACCTGCCACCTGTTCACATAAAATATGGGCTGGAAAATAGCTGTAGATATGAGCTATGTACTTTCCACACAAGTGCACCTGATTAGGTAACATGGGCAATATTTTCCGCTCTTAAAGGCTATTGTGCTTTGTGAACGGGTCCTGCTTCTTTGAATGTGCATCCTGGCTTGGAGCGTTGTCCTCATATGATGTTAGTTTTCTTAACACATTAACCGAATATGAATGTATAAATGATGCCGGTCTTGTTTATTAAGTGGGAAATGTGCATGAAAAAGCTATGTGTCTAGCAAGCCATGCTAACTGACTGCAGCTGTGACATGAAACAACATTGAGTCGATAGCCAGCACTTGGTTTTGTCACCATATTTTACAGCAATGTGTCGTAACCCTGATCAGTTGTGGAGTTACGAGCCTTCAGTCAATTGGTGACTTGAAACCTTATTGACGATATTTCGCTCGCATTTGTTGCCCATGGCAACATAAGGGCTTGACTCACTTTCTGATGCAGTGCTGACGCCTGTCTTGAGCTCCAAAGTCCTGACGACTAGCTGAAGGTTACCTTAGGTGGTTCATATGCGTGTGATGTCCTTATCAATGACACACACGAAGTGTAACACATGCAGATTCCACCAGGTTACCATGTTAATTGCTATAGTGTAGATTATTCATTGGATTATCCTTCAATTTTCACTTATAAGCATAGGAATATCCCCCATCCTGGTAGCTGGTGGTTTCTCTGTTTCTGTTGTTCTTGTTTTATTGTCTCTTGGAATCCGCTTGGTTTCACCACAGACATTTGAATGTAGTGTCTATTTCAGCAGTTATCTCTGCTTACCTGCTTCCACAATCCATTATTCATTGGAGGCCTAAAATAACTGAGTCTGAGTGAATGTCTAAGATCCAGTCTTCAATGTTTATGGACGTTTATGGCAGTTAGGATCTACGCAAATATTCTGTTACCTTAGAATTCACTCAGATGGGCTGCTGCACTGGCCAGAACCAATTACTAAACTTACGTGTTAAGGGAAATGAGTATTTTTGGATAACCGTGTCTCTTCGGAGTTGACGAGAAGGTACAAATATTCCATATCACATGGGGTTCCTGTATGACCTAGTTCTCTCAGCCCTGGCTTGTCACAAGCACGTTCCACATACCAGGTATGCCAGGCTCAGGTTCTGACTCTGAGCACAAATAACTGGACGTCGACCTGCTTGTGTGCTCATGTATGTCCCAACTCTGCATGCCTTTGGAACAAAGTGCTTTTCCATAAACAAAGTACCACAATTGGCTTCAAACGTATCGCACATTTACTGGATCATCCAAAGTCATGCTGGTTATAGCTTGCTGAATTAGCTCTTAATACTTGCGACTTGCTCGTCATGAAAATGAATGGTTTATGGAAGGTTGCTGCATCAGAATTCTGTAGACGTCCCAATAACACAGCTGGAAGCTCAGTTTTGGGGGTTTTTGTGAGGGACCTTAGTCCAGGTTTGCCTGAACCCAAATGCTCTCCCAGTTTTAACATTGCACGTTTTCCCTCTCTGCTTGGTGTGGACATGCCATTTGTAGCTTTTGTTATTTTCAGATTATTTTCATGCTATTTAAAATCTCTGGGACCATCTGATTCAATTTAAGAAGGGTTGGATTCTATGTTATTAATGTCATAGCGGGCGGAAATTTAGAAATGTCAAACATCAGGGCCTAAAACAAAAGAATTAGGGTTAATTATTTCCGACAAAGTTGCTGTGTCAGTATTGAATGAGTAGCATATGAAAAAACAATTCGTCTAAGAAATTCCTAAGAAAGGTACTGGTCATATCGAATATTTTTATAAGTTAATCTTACAGTAAATTACACTATTGGCAGTATTAAAGAAAAGTGCATCCGGCTTAAGTTAAGCTCTGATGGTTGTTGTTCTGTCACCACTAAATATCACGTTTTACAACAAGCACTGATACATACATACAGATATATAAGCATACATATGTATTATATAAACTATATTACGTGATGGAGGATTTGAAAGGCTTGCGTTAATTGACTTGAGGTGCATAATTCAGCGTTTGAATGTTTGGAAGCGCAAGTACAGCTCCCAGCTGCATAAGATAGAGGCTTTATCCTGTGCCATTGTTTTCCAGTGTTTTCCGGACAGAAGGAGGGGTTAGTAGATCTATTTTTTAGAAGAGCTTCCCTCTGAAGTTTCTTATGCTTGCCTCTGGCCAGTGATAATAAACATTTAGTGACATTTGCTCCATGGCCTCAGTTGACGTGTCCTTATTTTTCCTCTTTGCAATGTGGGCCGTAGCCTCCAGTGCCACCCCAGTGCAGGCTGGGAATTGCGGTGGTGCAGGTGTGAGTGGGTTTGATGGTGTTTTTTTGGCTCGCAGTTTGTACCTGGCGAGGCAGGAGTATGGTGATCAGCAAAATGGCGGCCCTTTGGGAAAGAGGCATTTGTGAAAGTAAATCTGTACCTTGGGCAAAATGAACCTGACTTCATGAGGAGCCTCTGTGATGGTTTTGCTAAATATCTGCAAGGACATGAATTTAAATTTTTCAGAATTTTAGCAACTGTAGTTTTGTTCGGGTATAACGGACATGCAGAAAAAGCATTGGATATAGCGGACTCACATATAACGGAATTTCGCTTATAACGGACAAACAATTTGGTCCCCAAGGCCGCTTTTAGGTGTAGTTTTGTTTGGCTATAACCGACACGCAGAAAAAGCATCGGATATAACGGACTATCATATAACGGAATTTCGCTTATAACGGACAAACAATTTGGTCCCCAGGGCCGCTTTTAGGTGTAGTTTTTTTTGGCTATAACCGACATGCAGAAAAATCATCAGATATAACGGACTAGCATATAACGGAATTTCGCTTATAACGGACAAACAATTTGGTCCCCAGGGCCACTTTTAGCTGTAGTTTTGTTCAGCTATAACGGACATGCAGCTCTGCCTACAAGGCGTGTGGCATGCCGGTGATATTCAGTGCAGATACGTAGTCGGGATTATTAATAGTCACGCATCTGGTCAGGTAAATTAAGTTGGATTACTACATGTACAATATAATAATCTATACCACAAGTGTCTCTGCTGGGGTGTGGCATGAGTAAATGGTGTCCTGTATATTGTGTTCTGGCCATACAGCAACTCTGGATATAACGGACTCTGGATATAACGGACTGTTTTGCCAGGTCCCTTGAAGTCCGTTATAACTGGATTTTACTGTATTGGGAGTATAGTTGTTTTTGGCAGCCTGTCTTAATTTTAGTTTTAGTCTAGTCTTTGTGTCAAGCTGTCATTTTAGTTATTATTAGTCTTAGTCACGTCCATACTCCTTTTAATCTAGGCAAGTTTCAGTTGACTAAAAGTCTGAGCATTTTAGTCATATTTTAGTCAGAATTATCCATGACTATTTTAGTCTAGTTTTAGTCAACAAAAACTGATGACATTTTAGTCTAGTTTTAGTCAATGAAATGTGTATTTTAGTCTCTTTATTTTAGTGATGCAATTCTATTTTACCTAGTCAATATAGTACAAGTACCTAGTAGAATAGACAAAAACAAAATTTTCTTTTAGTCAAACACATTTCACAATTAAAACAAGGTTCTTATTATTATATTATTGTTACCTTATAGACTCAAGAATACTCTGCATCCATTCCAGACACGGATGACGCTCTGATTTGAATTTATAACATATATTTTGCCAACCAAACATGTTTGAACTTAGAAGTACACACAAATTTAAATAAAATAAATAAATAAAATAATGTCCATCTTCTTGCGTGGGACTTGCTTCACTGAAGCTGTTTCTGGAATCTAGAACAGGAATAGATACAATGTCAGGACAGATGCAGCCTCTGGAAAATCTAACTGTTGTAAATATTAAGTAGCATAAATCCTTGCTATTAGGCCTATTTTGCCCTCAATGACTGAATTAAACTATTGGTTGTAATTTGGCTGTTTATTTTCAGCTACAATTGTTTAACAAAAAAAATAGGCCTCACAAGACCATAAGGGTTGCCAGTCAAAATGCATCATGCTCTGAATCATTCACGAACATCCTTTCCACAAGAACATTATTTCACAATTAGCAGGTATTTACATGAGCTGTAGCCAGAGCCTACCTCGACGTGGATGGTAACTAGCCTGGCAAGCCAGACCCGCGCACGATGTTCCGAAAAATGCTCTTTCAAGGTTTCAAACACTACCCCTTTCGACATATATCTAGTCACGCAGTAATGAAAGCTTGAAAGTTTAGATCGCCAGGATTCAAGACAACTGAGCTGTCGTTCTCAGTTTGCTACTTAGCTTTAGCTTGCTAAAATGCCTACATAGCTTCAAAGTGTTCCCTTTACCCACGTATTCTTATCAAACATGTTATCAGAAAGATGTTTTGTACAGATCGCCAAGTGTCCATGCTTATGAAATATAATATAATATAATTATTACTGCATAATAATAATAGCGCGATTAAACGAGAGAAAATAACATCTCGTCTCGTTTTCGTCAACGAAAATGAAGAAACATTTTAGTAGGCTATAGTTTTTATTTTGCAAACCAAATTTAGTCTCGTTTTTACTCGTCAACAATATTACACGATATATTTTGTTATAGTCATCGTCACATGACCAGCATTTGCAGCAGTTGCATCTTGTCTCGTCTCGTCTCCGTCACTTCAAAAAGGTCCGTTGACGAAGATATTTCGTCAAAAATTTCGTTGACTAAAACAACACTAAAATTTGGGAGCCGGACATGAACTACGGAATGATCAATCCGCCACTTCAAATTTCGGTTTGGGCACCGAATAGCCTACGTATCAGCATCGGGATATCAACCACGGTTTTTACTTGGTATCGGATCGAAAAGGATATCGATGGTAGCCTATCGCCCATGTCTAACAGCAGTTCCCTTTGGGAAAAATTTAAAACATAGATCCATTTATAGGTGATTGAGAAAATCCTTATAAAACCTAGTCTATATGTAGCGTAAACGCACCACATCATGTTATTTTAAATCATCCAGAATTATAAAGGTTTATAAGGTAGACGATTTGTTATGTCAGGATTTGTGTGTGCTAATGTTAGCGCTTCTTGGATACCTAACATATTAACAAATGTGAAAACTCCAGTGCTTACTCACTGGGACGATAACAGTGTTGTTTGAAATAACACAGGATAAAAAATATTTTGGTTATTTTGGCTGCAGAAACAATATCCTTCTCATGTTTTCCCCCGCTTGTTAAATACCCGATCGTGCAGCGTGTCGCCTTTTACGAAGTGCTCCGGGAATGTCGCTGCCTCCGACGTGATTTTGGACCTGCTGAGATGGCTCTGAGTGCCTGAGCGCATGCCAGCGATCTTCTCACGCCCCATCATTCCCGTGGGACACAACTTGAGTTGGCTGGTGAGAGGCTGAGCCGAAGGCTTTGTGATGAAAGGCGAGATGTGTGCTTTGAACGGCCTGGAGCTGTGGATGTGATATGTGCTGCCTCAGAACATGTGCCTCGCTTATGGGGTGATCACAGGAGGCCAGGCAACTAGCCCCTGACCAAAGCAAATCAAAGGAAAAAACCTAAGAATACCGAACTCTGCATTTGATTAGTTTTAAAGCACCATAAGTCTTATTGTCCTCCTATTCCTGTTTAACTGATTAACTGATGCTAGATTGCTGTAACTCTGTTCCATTACTGGATGGTAAGCGTCTGGCCTCACCACTCCAGGGATGGAAGTCTGATTCCTTTCTCTGCTCTGTGTGTGTTGATTTTGTTTGTTCTCGTGTCCTGCTGGGTACCCTGGTTTTCTCCCAAAGGCCAAATTTTCATGTGCATGTGCCCTGGAATGGACTGTCCGGGGGTGCATCCCTGCTTGGTGCTCTGGGCTGTCTTGGATAGGTTCCAGGCCATCTTGAGATCCTGACTAGAGGTAACTGTTTGAAAGTTAGATTTAGTGGTCTTTAAAAATGTACCCTGTGCTTATGCTACAATTAAACGTGTGTCATGTACAGGGTTGCTAACTTTGGTCAGCTGACTGGAGTGAGATTTTCAGTTCTAGACAAGTCTGCACACACGCACATGCATTTACATGTATGTCACAGTTTTATTACCTTGTAAATAGTCTGTAGGGTTTGCAAACTACCCCAACGCTTTTGATGTAGCAAAGTTTAGGTTTAAAATAGAATAATATAGATTTGTAATAAATTTCTTCAGTGAGCATGAGAGTCTGACAGCGTGAGTGTTATGCCAGATGCGTGATAGTTAGCAATCCTTTGTGTATCCAAGCTGTTACTACTGTAACTAGACTAGTGATTATACTCAATTATGGTTGTCAAATTGTCTTAGAGAAGATAGCTATGTCTTCAATGTAGGGCTGCGGCGATTAGTATGCGACGTTGTGAACGCTCAAAATTCGTCGACATCAATATTTTAAATCGACAAGTCGTTTTTTTATTATAATAAAATTAACTATATGATTTCTACAACTCTTCAATTGGTTATTACAAATGTTTTCCTATAATATCTCTGCATAATTATGGGAGTACTTCAAATGATCATAAAACAAAACGGTGGTTTTACGCTGTGAAAAGTACGAAGGCATCCCACTGCGCACTAGTTCTATGCACGAGCGCCCGAAGAGGAAACGCACCGGTGCAATTCTGGATGATAGCCAGACCATTGCAGTAGGCAAAACCACCCTAAGTGCTGTCTATTCATATTTATTAAATTTTCATTAGAACGGAGGGGGGAAATGGATGGATGGATGGATAGAACGGAGGGCTTTTTAGTATCTTTTGTCTTTGTAGCTGCTAAATACACTCATTATTAAAGCCATAAAGTTTCATACCTGCTACATTTGAATCTTCATTGTATAAGTGTTTGTGAAAAATTTTAGGCTAAAATCTGGGTTTATTCTACGTTGACTGATGGTGCCAGAGTGCAAGTTTGTGCACGTTGGACTTGCTGGGACCAGTGTTGGTATCGTAAACTAAAATTGAAGTGAAAATGGACAGAAAATAATTCATGAAATAAAGATGGAAACCATATTTACAAGAAAAAAAAAAAACATGTTGGATTTTAATCAGCAGAAAGTGCTGCCACACAACCAACATCTTTTACCTTGTTTAACCACAGCATCTCCTCTTTTACAAGATGTGATATAAAAGTGCTAATTGTGTTGTACAGTATGTGGAGTGCTCCGCTACCCGAATTTATTAAGCTTTTGGGCATCATGATGTTTAGGCATACTACTAATCTGTTTATGGAATTGTAGGCGAAAATAAAGAAATAATGTGCGTATAGTGCTGAAAAGCAATGTCTAAATTATCTAAAGCCCTGCAATGACATAGCTTGTTGTTGTAAACTTAAATTAAATGGTCAAGATGATTTTCTTGAGGAAAATTAATCATTTAGATTAATCGACAAATCAATAAAATAGTCGACAGATTAATCTATAGAAAAATAGTTGCTAGTGGCAGCCCTACTTCAGTGTATGACTGTAAGCTGTCATCTGAACTTGGGTTTGTTCCTGAGGTTTGAAACTGTGTGGAAGGCAGTACAAGCAAGTGAGGATGAGATATGGCAAAAGAGCGATGCAGTGCAGTGCAGCAGTTTACAGTGTAGTGCAGCAGTTTACAGTGTAGTGCAGCAGTTTACAGTGTAGTGCAGCAGTTTACAGTGTAGTGCAGCAGTTTGCTTATGCTGAAGCCCGGGGCTGTGAGGTGTTGAATCTGGCCTTCAACAGCCGCTGTCAAACTTGGAAGTAAAACCTGATATCGATCTCTGAACAGGAGCAGTTGAATCCCTGCAACTGCAGTTACTTATAGTTAGTTCAGTTACATTCCGTGTGGTTTTCCCATCAGTGAAATGGGAATGAAGGAAAAGCTGGCACTGAACTCAGGATGTTACATGTTACAACATCAGTTTTTGGTGAAATGCCTTTGTTTCAGAGTGGACCTAATTGCTGTATTTCACACTTTCATCATCAAACAAACAAATCTGTGGTTTCACTACCCCCCCCCCCACAGATACACACACACATACACATTAGGTGTCAATATCTTTGTGGGGTTGTCCATTCATTTACAATCGCAGCTATGACATCCTTAACCCCTATACCCAGCCATAACCTTAACCATAAGTAACCAAACAAAATACAAGACATTTTATTTTTTTGATTAGAGTCACAGATTTTTATAAAATTGAGGACTGAAAAAAATGTCCCCACATGGTCAAAATAACAGGTGTTTATCACATTCTGGGGACATTTAGTCCCCACAATGTTATATATACATGACCACACATACTGTGACCCATGAATCGGTCTGCACAGCTATAGCTTAAGATCCAATCTGCTTTTTGTATATAATCAGTAGTTTGAAAATGTGACTGGGAGTTTTAAGGTATTTAGGCGGCTGCAGTCACACACTGTTTAGCTAGCAGTTTGTAGCCTTTTGTGCCAGTGAATGGCATCACTGCTGGCTTATGGAAAAGGGGCCTGAGAGTCCTTCCTTAATTATGGGTGAGTTGCTCAGCCGCCAACCACCCCACCGCCCAGTAGGGAGACCCCCCCCCCCCCATCTTGGCACATGGTTCAGGTACTGACTTGCAGAGTTTTCTTATGTGGCTTTCGATCATGTCAGGTGTCAGATGCCATCGCGAAACGCATGCGGCAGGCCGAGTGCTTGAACCCAAGCCTAATAGGGGTTATAAATATAAGGCGATTGAGTGATGGGGCCGCTGGGGTCCTCGGGGCCCCGAGGCATTAGTGTACATGGGACAGCCTCGCCAGTGGAGCTTCCCGTGCTGGGGGCCAGGGACAGCGGGCTTTTCGGGACCTTCTTTACGGTGGGCACCTGCAGGGCATATATGGCTGTGCAGGTTGTACGTTTCTTGTTTTCTTTTTTTGGGAAGTGTTCTGCCTCCACTCCTGAGTCAGTGATTGGGGGTGGGGGGGGGCAGGGTAGGTTCCATTTGCATGCCAACCCAGACACCATCACCAACGCCACCAGGGCACTGATATCCCCTGAGTTTCTTTTGATGATTCTGTCAGTGCGCTGTGTGATGTCACTGGTCACGGGGATGATTGATGCCGTTGGAAAGGGGCGGGGCCCTATGTGTTGCCATGGTAAATGCCCATGGCAACACATCTCCCAATGTAAACAGCCGGGTTTCCCGTTTTTCCCCTTTTTCCCCACATGTATCTTTCTTTACGGCATCAAAAATAGCAGGAAGGTGAAGAGTATAACACTCATGACATTTCATTTTGATGAAGCTGTGAGCTGAGTAAAGTTACATGCTAGAATGTCTACGGTTTCTGCAAGAGACTGGAAGACCGTAATGTTGAATATACACTCACCTAAAGGATTATTAGGAACACCTGTTCAATATCTCATTAATGCAATTATCTAATCAACCAATCACATGGCAGTTGCTTCAATGCATTTAGGGGTGTGGTCCTGGTCAAGACAATCTCCTGAACTCCAAACTGAATGTCAGAATGGGAAAGAAAGGTGATTTAAGCAATTTTGAGCGTGGCATGGTTTTTGGTGCCTGATGGGCCGGTCTGAGTATTTCACAATTTGCTCAGTTACTGGGATTTTCACGCACAACCATTTC